CCCCCCCCCCCCGCTGTCTCCACCCCTGGTGGGGTTCAGGTGCCTAGGGCCACGGTGGGGTCGGGGGCGAAGCCCCCGAAGCCAGAGCAGTTTTTGTGTTTAATGGGTCTATAATAATGTTATAACAGCAGTTTGGCCTATGTTTTGAAAAAGATCTATGTAATGACAAGGTGGTAATATAATAAAATTAGAAATTATTTTCTGAGAATTGGCATGTTTAAATCACACCGAAAGATATAAAAAAAAAGCTCATCGCATAATCAATATCAATATACACAACACGTTTATTATTATAAAAAAAAAAAAAAAGCTATTCTTCTTTTTCCTCCTCCTCTTCTTCTTCTACTACTTCTTCTTGACTCTCATAATAATAGTACTATTTTACTACATGGCTAAAAAAAGCACAAATACTGTCATTACTACTGATAGGGCCATCGTTAAATTAAGTCAGAGCCCAAAATATAGCATAATTCGAAATTATTATTTTAAGACTTTATAACATAATACATAGCCTACTGATTAATAATAGCTGAGATGCACATTTCTGAATTAATAATCGTTTTTAGTATATTTTACTGAATATTTATTGTCTACAAAATAAAACATGAATTACATGCATCTTTAGAAATACAATTTCTACAATATTATTCTTGTTTTTATGTAGATAAATGTTCGATAAATTCTTTCTTTCATAAAAAAAAAAACAAAAAAAACAAAAAAAAACAAAACAACGAAATTTAGCGTGTCTATTTTCATTCTAATCAATGGCGTTTGTAAACGTGCACGGACGTCATCTTCGAATCCCAGGACTTCCGACGATAAAGCTGGCCTGCCTGCCTAGGTCCGTCCCAGGCCAACCAATAATAATTAACAAAATGTATATTTTTAAATATAGGCCTATGGCGCATCCTGTACATGCACTTCAACTTTACATGCACTTCAACTTTTACAACAAAAGCCTAGGCCTAGTAGGCCTACCTGTAGTATGTTCTACTGTACTTAGGCCTATGCCTACACACACATCTAGATGTGTATAAGAGACAGACTTAACAGAGTAGGCCTACTTTACTACCTGTAGTAGACTGAAGTACAGTTGCATTGCTTGCTTGAATTATGGACTGGGTACGCAGGCCAACCCACATATCTTCTCGGTCTAAGCTAGTACCGCTATGCTTTTTCTAATATCTTTTTTCATACCATAATTACTAAATGATTACCATGTATCCCCTGAACGTAGGGAGGTTTTAAGCAGATCCTTTATCTCCGTCTTCTGTTCATCGAGGACAGACTACCAAATTCTATTTGACAAAAAAGTTTTGTATACCCATATTTAGTCACGAAGTACCTATATATGGTGATGATGTGATGTCATCATGACCATATTTAGGCATGTCACATGTTTTTTTGTTGTCAAAAAAATGTTGATTTCTGGACAAGGTTTAAGACTGTTACTTAATATGTACTGAAGGATATCATGGATTAGCGGCAGGAACTCGTTTTGTCTGTATTTCCTTCTGTTTTTGTCCATGTTTAGAAGTCATGCAGAACTGTACTTATTATGTATTCGCAATGATTCATGAATAATTAGGTGGGTTAGCCAGAGAGCTACTGCATTGGTGGATTCAGGGGGAGAGCCCTCCCCCCACTCCCAAAATAATTTTTTTTAACAGGAGGAAAAAGAAAGTTATATACTCAAATTTTTTTAATTCTGAGAGTGCCATTTCCAACCATAATCATAAATTTTTCTCCTCAGCTGAGGTGGTGAAGACACTTCATCTGTAGACACTTTATCCTCAGTTTTAACATTGCTTTTTACAAATGATCGGTGTCAGGCTATAAAAAACATGGCGTTTTCAAGTCAAAAATGTTTGGTTTGGGGGCTGTACACTACTGATACTATAACTACTAGGGCTTTTAAGATTCAAATATTCCTGTCTATTTGTATTACTTGTATGAATATAAGGGCTAAATTTATTTGTTTGTTCTTTCCAGGTTTGGCATAAAGGGTGCTTTCAATGCGAAACATGTGGCCTGAAGCTGACATTGAAGACCTACAAAGGTTATTCAAAAAAGCCATATTGTAACACGTAAGTTTGTTGTTGTCTGTTGTTGACATTCAATCTTCCATGACATTTTCTAACTCACTGCACTCATGAATATTCATTATTTTGTATAATGTATGCAAGTTTAATAATTTATTTGCATGCTAAGAAATAGTTATTTTTTAATAAGCATTCCATGTCAGTAATACATGGTTATTGGATTGCTAATTATAACTTGTTATATTTCAAATCTATTTGGAAATGTTTCAATCATGAAATAGAATATTTAATTAATTGGTACTGATTAATATTTTTTTTTTTTAGTCATTATCCAACAACCAAATTTACACAAGTGGCAGACACACCTGAAAACAAACGCCTTGCTCAGCAATCAAAGAATCAAAGCCAGGTATGCATACAAAACATTTTGAAAGAAAATCAAAAGTGTCATTTATCAAGGATGGATTTTCAAGTATTGCACTGTGTTTTAATGGTACAACAAGTTCTTGTTGCAGCGTGTCTCAGAGTACGTTGCAACAGCGCCAGAACCAAATAGAGAGAGCAGCTTAGCTGGTGGTAGCCACTGTTTGCTGAACCGTGGAGATCTCTAGGTCTCCAGTTCAATTCCCATCGCTGCCTCTCCTTGTATTTCAGCTGGAGGGCTGAAATGCAAGTTATAGCGTACCATCTTTCGGATGAGACGTTTAAGCTGTTGGTCCCGTGTACATTATGGCCGATATGCATTTTAAAGTACGCAGTACACTAGGGTATTGTTTCCCGGTGTACTGCCCAATCACCACCAGGAGGACTCCACTGGAAATAAGTCTTCTTCAGACTTTTATGGGTTGTCTTTGGTGTTTACCAAAAATAAATTCTGTAATGAGAAATGGAACAAATTCAGAAAGACAAAGTTAAATTTATATGGTATAACCGTGTGTTTAGTGAGGGCTCACTGAATGTCCATCGCTTCCTTAATTTTAAGAAGCTGTGTTATGGGTGGAGATTTGTAGTATACAAGGGCGTAAAAACTACAGAAAAATATCTGATTTTGGGCGCATAAGGTCATTAATAGGCTAACATAAACATACATACGTCATTTGTACGTTATCGTCTAGGTGTATCTTCCGCGAACTAGCAGCTGTTGAGTTGTGATTCTACAATGTACAGTATAACAAAGAAGTTATAAATGCTAGAATATTACCCCGATTTTGACGAGTATACTCGTCCCTGGCACCCTCAGCAATACCCTGTGGGCGAGTATACTCGTCGTTGGCAGCCAAAGTGTTAAGGGCTTTAGGCTTAAGCCAGGCTTGTACTTCACCATCTGATTACCATAATTATTAGAATGTCCACAACGTATTCCTAACCTTCAGAGGTGGGGATAGTTAGCTTCCATCGATCTACAGATAAGTCTGTCTGACATCAGTGGGTTTGCGAGTGCCCCTTTTGCAACCCTGGATGCAGTTGCTACAGAGTGGGATATATTTCATTCATATATGTACATACTGTATGTATGTATGTATACAGTATGTAAGATTTATATGGGGTAATAATGTGAGAATGTTGTACTGTATAGAGGGGTAAGTGTGAATAAATTCTTATTCTATAATATTTAATTTTGTCTTTCTCTAGATCAGTTACACAAGTCAGAGTAAGAAAGCTGTCCGTAAGTTTTAACAAATTTATTTGCTTATCAATGAAGCCTATCGCTCATTTTAGAGTGAGGGTATTTTTTAATTAATTAAAATATAAATGATTAATATATATATATATATTCCTGGCACTTTTTTGATTGGTTAGTTGTCAAGTTTGATTGACATTCAGGATTGTTCAATTGAATACTGTATAAAAAGCATTCAATCTGTTACTCAACTGTTTACATCGCAAGTATACAGTACTTCTAACAACTGCAAGATAGCACCTTCATCAATGACCAAAGGTCGCCATCTATCCTTTTTACCCTTCATACATTGTAAATAATTTCTTTTATCTTCGCCTAGATGCTTTGTACGCAGACCGATCAAATTTACTTTGAAAAAAAAAATTATTTTTATTTATTTCATCCTCTGACAATCTTTCAAAACTTCAGTCTTCTGATCGAAGTATATAGAACTGATTGCTGTTAGCCTTGTTCAGACAGCCTTCCACAACAGACGAACAAATATATGTGCATGTTACGTAGGACAAGTTTGCACACGATGCTTACCCAGAGCATTGTCCTTTTTATATCAAAGTTAGTACAAAACTTAGAAGTAACTATGCAAATTTTCCGGAAGTGGTAATTGCCACTTTTGTTGTCTCGCTCAGCAGCACAAATTCTTGAAATTGTTAAACAATTATGAAAACATCGTGTCTACAAAGGTTTACACACTCAGGAAATGATGTTGTGGCACTGATTTGTAGGTAATTATCTTCTGAAAATATTTGGAGGTCATGATAAAAGCTCAGAAGCAAGTGCATACTACACAGCGCTGCTCTGTGCACGTATTCCATACATTCCTTGTGCACGCAAAAGTAGCACAATTTTTCATGAAATTTCTTTGAAGTGAATTGTCTATAAGAAGTTAACCCAAAGGTCAGGCACTACTTAGAGCTTACAAGAAGTACTGTAAATTGCTACTTTACTCTTAACTCATCTGAACATAACTATATATATATATATATACTATATATACTATATATATATATATACATACACGATATATATACATACACTGTATATATATATATATATATATATTATATATATACTATATACATACACGATATATATACATACACTGTATATATATATATATATATATATTATATATATACTATATACATACACGATATATATACATACACTGTATATATATATATATATATATATTATATATATACTATATACATACACGATATATATACATACACTGTATATATATATATATATATATATTATATATATACTATATACATACACGATATATATACATACACTGTATATATATATATATATATATATTATATATATACTATATACATACACGATATATATACATACACTGTATATATATATATATATATATATTATATATATACTATATACATACACGATATATATACATACACTGTATATATATATATATATATATATTATATATATACTAGTGGGAAACAATGGCTGGATCTCAGTAGAGATACAAAAATGATAAGCAACAGCTAAAAAGTAACCGTAAGTAAACAGCCAGAAATAGAACCAGAGCTTTTGGACAACACTAGTCCTTCCTCAGTGGCGAGTGGGTGAGGGTAGAAAAAGCTAGATGGTATAAAGTGAGAATTCCATGCAAGCATGATTGGAAACAATAGGCTGGGTGAGATTAGAATAAACAGCCTAAACAAGTAAACAGGAAGGCCAAAACTAAACTTTAGAGGCAAGCCTCAATAAATAAGCCAAATGATTTATCCAGAATAAATTGAAATGCCATTGGTTTAATTTGTTTTACTGGGAGAACATTCCTAATATTGAGTCCAAATGGTGTGGTTGTTTTAAGTAAAAGTTCCCAGTGATTCTCTTTATCTTTGCGATTTTTGTCGCTCCAACTGGCATTGTGGTCAATAGATAGATATATATGTATATATATACACTGTATAGATAGATAGATATATATAGAGAGAGAGAGAGAGCATGATGTAATCCATGTGTATTCCTTAGATACATAACTCAATGAAAAAGACGATGAGAAGACGTCTTGGTAGACTTGGAACACAAAATTTATTCAAAACATGGAAAAAATATGAAAAAATCTTGTGTTCCAAGTCTACCAAGTCCATCTCATCGTCTTTTTCACATAAAGCTTGATAGTGTCTGCAGAGTTTAATGCCCAAATTATTATGTGTACTTTTTCAGCATTACCTTCATCGCCGTCTTCAGCTCCTCCTCCAATCCGAGGATACCAACCACCAGAACCAGCATACCCACAGCCACCCCGGGAGCCCGACCCGGTTCCATACCAGCAACCGCTGCCCTCTATTGTTCATGAACCACTGCCTCCGGTGCCACCTCAATCCTCAAATCAGGTTAGCATAATAGTTTTTTAATAGGTTGAACTGTCATCTCTGAAGTTACCTTTTAAGAGGCGGGTCATGTATTAATATTCTGTTTCCTCTTAGAACCCCTTCCTTCAGAACACCCCTTTTCAGGGGACATGCCTATTAAAAAGACACTTTTCTGCGAAACAAAGGAAAATATTTTTTTATCTATTAAGGGGACACCCCTAAAAGGGGACAGGGACATTTTCTGTGTGTGCCAAATGATCAATCAATACATATTTAACCCATATTAATAGTAATGGTTGGAAACTTGTACTGTATAGCGCATAAATTACGTGATCGCTATGTGCTGTACAGAAAACAAAAAAACAAAATCTATTCTTGTGGGTCGTCTAATCTCTCTACTCATAAACCAATTTATAATGTCAACCACCTGGGGATTTCTTTTTCTTTGTTTTTCATCTACTGTTATATAGAATTCTAATCAATACCATAACATGCACTCTCATTTCTAAGTCGTTATTCATGATACATGCATCGAATAGAAAGCTCATTGTTTAAAAAAGAAAGATTTTGTCATAGCATTGCATCATGAAATAATATTGGGAACATGTATCGTTGTTTTGTGTATTTGCATTGCAAATTATTGCTATAAATTTGTTCTAATTTTACTCTTAATTCTTATGTCAATAAATATAAAATTACAAAAAATAAATATTTGTTGTATGAAAACATGCCAAAAACAATTTCACGTTTTTGGTTAGTGCACCCTGAATAGGAAACCACTATTCGGGAGACATCCCTATTAAGGGGACGCTTTTTTTGGTCCTGAAGGTGCGCTGTTAAATGGGGTTCTACTGTATTTCAATTCATTGCATTTTTATGTATTGGGATTACAAAATTTATTGGCAAAATGGGGATCTGTTGGTCCCACCCCTGCATCAACTACCTATATATGGTCATAATGTGATGTCATCATGACCATATTTAGGTATCTCTCATGTTTTTGTCAAATAAAATTTGATAGGTTTCACAAAGCTTTATACAAAAAAATATATACCTGAATTCGGACTCTACCTCCACTTCTTTATTCCTTTAATTTAATCTCCCTTTTTGTCTCTAACTTTACGCATCAGAAAAAGATTCGGAAAATAGTGTATGGTGCATCAACCCAAAAATCTCAATAGTAACCACATTGTTTTGTGTTCGTCTGTGTTGAAAAGTGATTTTTTGTCCTTAAAGATGACGATAATGATCAACAATAAAAATCTAAAAAGCAATTGTTCATATAAAAAATAAAAGAAATAAGAGAAGTTTCCATATTAACTCGATTCGATAATGATTTATCTTGTATACGATAAAAAGTATTTTCACATATTAAATCAATCTTCACAAATCAATCTTCACAAATCGTAGTAGTAAAAACGATTTTATCGTTTATCCATGATTTTGACCTAATTTTATTTGATTTGTGAAATTATTTTTTGTATTGTATATGCGATAAATTGTTATTGAATCGTGCTAGCGTGGAAACTCCTTATTTCTTTTATTTTGTATATGAACAATTGCTTCTTGGCTTTTTATCGTTGATCGTTATCGTCATAGTGTAAACAGACCTTAATACATAACAATTTGCATTTATTATTCTTCGTAGGCAAAGTATCAAGCTCTATACGATTACGCTGCTGCTGATGATGACGAGGTGTCGTTTGCCGAAGGAGATTATATCATTGAAGTGACCGTTATTGATGACGGTTGGATGGAAGGTAGAGTACAGCGAACAGGCCAGTACGGAATGCTTCCATCAAACTATGTCGAGAAGGTTTAATTATTTTTTTTTAACATTAACCCCTTTCATATTTTTTAGTAACATTAACGGTAGAGCATTTGATAGACTATTTGATAGGATTTCCTGAGATGAAAGGTTATCTCATAGCTATTTCCTATGTCGTGCTCAACCAATGTTCAATATAAATAATCTAGTTTCTTTGGTCGTATAAATTGTAACTCATAATTCTGTATAGAGCATAATATGCACACACAAAAATTGACATATTTTACCATATTTGTGTTATCAATTAACCAATGGCATTAATTAATCAATGTATCACATACCTATCTGTATTTTATTTTATTTTTATTTTTTTTTGTACATTACAGTGTAGTAGCTTAAATGTAGCTGAAAAACCCGCACTGTGGCATAGTTACCTACGCACTCCTTTAGGCAAACTAGGTGTACACTACATTATATCTATCGGGTAGTTAAAGCTTTGTCTTAACACTATTATCAAATTTTATGTGCCAAGTAACTGTAAAATTGCCAATATTTGGGTGTAATATATCACACCATCATGCCCAAATTTGTCAAGTGTGGACAAAGTTTTGTATCAATAATCACCAACTAAATACTGGTTATTTTTTTATGAGCCTTTTATGTGTATAATTTGTTTCATCCAGTTTTGGTGTATTATGTTAATCATTAATAAGGTTTACTGTATAAACTGGTGCAACTAAATACGATCATCATTTGGTCTATCATACATATTTTTAAATTGGTTTCTTAATTTTTATTTGACAATATTCTTTGCTAAATCTCATAATTATGAGTATGTCTATTAAAGTTAGGTCTTTTTGGGTTCTTAAGTTTTTCTTTAAGGCTGTGGATATATTTAATATTGTCATTTAAACGTATGATAAATTGATCGGATTATGTCAAATCAGTTCGCGTATGCACATACTCTCGGCTTAAATTGTCATTCTTATTTGTGCTAGTATTTTGTACTTAAATTTTTAGCTTATAGGCGCACTATGCGAATAGGGCTTTGCCACTCAACTATGTTTTGTTTCATCCCTAATAACGTAGCGACTACTGCAGGGCAGTTGCTTAAGAATGCACACCTATCATAAAAACTGGGGCTGAAAATATTTATACTCCCTGGCCGGTACATGTCTCAGTACTTATCCCAGTACAATCAGCTTAGTAATAGTCGCTCTAACGTCTGGGCCACATAGCTCAGCCTAGGTTTAATTTGAGAGAATTGGGGATGAATTTGACCCTCAGATAGTCAAAATTACAGAATTGCCATATGGCCTAGCTTAAGTAGGCCTAGATTAGTGGCTCCTTATAAAGTATTTGTCGCACTGAAAATTTCTAAGATACACACCACCAGCACCACCACCACCAAGAATGACTAGCCGAGGGCGTGTGCATGCATGTGCAATTCGGCTTGATTCCTCCGTTTATGATGACGTTATCCACAGTACTTTTACTCAATTGGGGAAATGTACAAGTGTTAAAATCCACTCCATTTTAATATGTATATATACGGTAGCACTTGCAAAACATGTACTGGAAAGGTTACTAGATCATGTACTTTCCATGTAGGAATTTTACCCAATGTTACTCAATGGGGATTTAGTTAAGGATAAATATAACAAAAGAATTGATGATTTAGCGAATATGCTCATAAAAGGGCTGCAGAAATTGCACGTTGAAGAAGGGTAAAAATTGTGAATAAATAATATAAATAATCATGTTAAAAATAATAAAAAATAGGTATATCACCTCATTTGGAATTCTTCATATTAAGTTATTTTCATTTTAGAAAGCAATGTTCCCCTTAAAATTATTGTAATACGGTATGTAGAATAATGAGTAACAGTGAATTAATTACATTAAATTCTGTGTTTTTTAACATATTTTTTTGAAGAAACTTGTATTACTTATCCATTTGATTATTTACAATGATCTATTTTTGATATGTATATTTTTTACAATGTTTAGTTTTGTTTGTAGCAGTTGTCTACATGATTACCTTTAATACTGGACCGAGCTTTGCTAAATTTTTGTTTTTATATGATGGATTTTTTATAGAATAAATCTTGTTTATTATCATTATGCTATAAGGAACCATATATGCTTTGATGTAAAAATGGTTTATGTACTAAAAGGGATGGGTCCAAATCATGTCTTTCACATCAAAAACGTTGTAATAAAACTATAAGGATGAGAATAAATTCTGTCTATGCACTCTACAAATTTTTTTGGTGAATGTGTCTTTGCACTTTATTGTATAAAAATGATTTATATATTTGGTCTGTAATGAAATTAAATATATTGAAGGCAGTGATTATCTTGTAGGTTGCACTCCAACTTGAAAGCATATTTGAATTTATGGCCATCAAAATATACACTTTGGCAAATTAATACATTGAATTACTTGTACACAACTGTTGGACATCTTCGAATAAAAGACAGATAAAGTACGCTTTTTACCCAGCCAATTGAAGGATCTTTACTGCACAATTCCAGGCATAACATTATTAGTTCTAATTTTCAATTAAAAGTTATTATTAACGTACTTAAATGCAGTTAAACTTGCCTAAGCCGACTTGCCTAACTCAAATAATTTCTTTAAGTCAATCTTATTTACATGCTAAATTGTTGTGTTAACGATCTGTAAGTCGTATTTTTATTTAAGTTAAACAATTTTTCAATGCCACTTTGGATTTGACTTAAGCAAGTTCAACTGTATAAAAATTAGTTTGATTTTTCAAATGTTACTTTACATTATTTATTTGTTTTTATAGTGCCTTTCTCTTCAGAAATGCGGCGCCTATTAGAGAGAGTTACATTTTTAATCATGCCTTTGCATTTGTGCCTAATCCTGCAGACATTTTGAAAGTTCACCCAGATGTATATATTGCTTTTATTCAACTGAAAACGTGTACTGTGTACACAAAAGCTGTGTTAATAGAAATTACAACTAGTTCCAGTGTGGCAATTGTACTTTCTTCTGCACCACACTTATTTTTAGAAAAGTGATGTGCAAACATTATCTACATTGAAAACGAAACCACAAATCAGTAATAGGAACAATAATAATGTCATTAGGCCGCTCATTATCTTTTTTTCAAAAGTCCAAGTAGCAGCGAAGGAAACCAATAAAATGAAGAGGAGTGAATGACGTTAAAGGTCAGTATGTCGTTTTTCAACATGGTGAAAGCCAGCTGAACCAGGGAAGGTGTAGTTCAAAAAATTGAACGTGCTCACACGATTTCCTAACGAGTCGAGATAAAAAGCGGTGCCATTATCCACAATAGCTAGGCCTATACTTACGGTGCTTTGAAAGTTGAGTTTGTAATTACAGTACCCTAATATACATCTTTAAAGTAATGGGTCATTATGCTGTGAAATGTAAAAACTATATGGTGGGATAAATATCAATGGTTTTGGGGGTTTTTTCTATCCTATATGCATCAATAATTTGATAAATTCCGGTTGTCCAGGAACAATATAGGCAATATTGTGAATTTCTGATGGAAAACATGTTATCCTGGATCTTAAATAATGTGAATTCTATTATGGGTCTAGATGCATTTCCGTATCGTTTTTCTACGTCCGTTTCCTGACGTTAGTAATTGGAGCAATTCCCGTGAACATAGTGGTGACGTAGGAACTCGGAAATTATGAAAGACCTTGCACATGGCGCACCTTTTTGCGTAAATTTAAGAGGTTTTATAGAAGTTTTATACGATTGAATAACAGCATTAAATATTACATGAAATGGTGTCGTATGTAGCACGAAGTTGGAGTTCTCAATTTTTAAATCAAGTACTCTTAAACGAAACTTTGAAAAGGACAATGTGTAAAAAATCTGCCAAATTATCGTTTATATATCCTTAAGGTTTTTCTTTTTTTCTTCTTTTTTTTTTTTTGCAATTCCTAAAATAAATCTAGAAAATCTGTGTGAAATTTAAAAATAGGCCCGGTTTAACAATTCACCAAGAAAGAACCTATAGCGATGATTCACTCTCTGGACTTCAAAATGTTTCTGTCTAATATTTATTATAAATTTTTATTTTATTAGATTTATATAAATTGCACATATCCAGAAAACTGTTGAATCATTGAATACAGAATCAATCATACACAACGTGCCACCTCCTCCCATCCCCGGACAACATTCGTGTAATGAGCACTTTCTGATTCCGTGTCCAAATTATTCACCTCCTCCCAGGTACCCATTTAATATACTCCTGGATTAAGAGAGGCAAATGCAGCTAAAGTGTCTTGCGTCTTGCCCAAACACACAAGTAGTGTGACGAGCACAGGTCTCGAACCCCCGACCTTCCGATTGAACTTTCATCGCCCTACACGCTGCGCCATAATCCTCTAATAGAAGTGGACAACTAACTTTCTGATTTAGAAATGTTTGTTGGAAATGTAAAAATTTAATGCTCTGTCCAGATTGTCAAATTTGCTTTGACAAAAAAATATTGATTGCCCATATATAGTCATGATATGCCTATATATGGTCATGATGTGATGTCATCATGACCATTTTTAGGCATGTAACATGTTTTTGTGAAATCAAATTTGATAGCCTGAACATTGCTTAAGTGTTTACTCAGCTGAAGTTATTCAATTGAGAACGCATTATTATTAGCTTTGTAAATGTTGATTTGTCTCCTAATATTGATTAGCGATCTCACCCGAAGTTATGTATCAATTGGTTTACATACACGCGATGTGTTCATTATAATATAGAAAAACAAAATGTGACTTTCTTTCTTGCGGGCAAGTAGACACTTTCCTATCATCTCTATAATAGTACTTGTAAGAGTAAATCCGGTTGGAGGAATGATGGGATACCCGTCATTGCGTCATGAGCTAAATATAGAAATGTATATCAAGTAGTGCCGTATATACTTATATAATACAGTAATAATGTGAATGATAACAATAATAATATAGGGCCACAATAATAATAATAATTTGCAGGCTTTACTGAAACGGTAACCAATATGGCTGCGTCATCAAATGTTTAGTCAATCCGGCCCCCTACCGTAGCATATCTTCACAACGTAGGCCACCTATGCTTTTTACACGAATCAATGATCATATTCCGCTCTTATATATATATGTTTTAGGCAGAAATGACGATAATGAACATTACGTATTCGTATAAACTCCCTAATAATAATAAGAATTAATATCGATAATATTACAATATTAATATTAATAATACAGTAATGTAGGACAATATATACATACTACCAAACACCATTGTAGATACATTTCTAAAAATATCTCGGATATCAGATGCGCTCTGTATCAACAGCTGGAGGTAAGTTGCCATAGCTACGCGCTTCATATGAATATGCCCTCATTGTCAATACAACATGTATTATATATCCCAGTGTGTAACTGTCACTCGAATTACTTAAAACTCAGATATTATGGTCTTCACTGCCACACCGAGCTCCGATATAATATTTCCGTTGCGTCCTGATGATTATGGTTGTCCGTAAGTAGGCCACTATTCTTTTCCTCTCGCCGGGCGTACACTTCTTGAAAACTTTTAACTGTAGTCGTTTGCAGGAATTAGTGGGTTTCAATTCTGAAAGCAATTGTTGCTAATATGTTTTATGTTTTTTTCTGTCGAGTTAATTACTTCAACAAAATAACAATATCATGATTTGAATTTCTTATTTTTTTACTTTCAATTAAAAAAAAAAAAAAAACGAGTTGTATAGCTTGGTGGTTAAGATGCTTGCCTGCTAATCCTAGTATACTGGGTTCAATTCCTGTCACAGCAGGACTTTTACTAGTTCAAAGCACCGTTCTGTAAGTGGCGAGTGTACTGTCCGATCTTCTTATCGTGTCCAGACACATGCTAGATACTTTTTTTCAGCCAGAGCTGGACAGAGTTTCTAGCACAATCATTGTATTCTGTCAGTGATTCAAGTAGACTTGTTCTTGTGTTTGGCGGTGGTAGAATTAACGTTATCTAGGGCCAAGACAAGGAGGCTTCTATACCATGACAAAGTAAAAGTACAATAAAACTCTTTTAGATAAGTGGCATATTAGTCGCTGTTTGACGAACAAATTGAATTTAAATAACCAAAAATAGAATTATTTATAATCAATTCATGTACTTTCTTTTCACAGCTTTAATCTATATTGTGCCGCCAGTAACTTGTGCTATCGTCTCCGTGTTATTTCTCCTATTTGTTTACGTCATATTGCGTTGGAATAGGCGAGGAGATAATGACGAATTTATGAACCAGGAAATCATATTGAAACAAGCGCTCATGTCAACCACTGAAATGTAAGTGTTCTTAAGTTCACAAAATATTACTATAAGTGTCCATTATCAAATACAAATGGCTTAAATCCGCGATTAAAGTCTTTAACTCTAAAATGAAAGAAAAATCGAGATCTAATTCGTGTCGGTAATTGACAGATGGGCCTACATGTTCAATATGAAAATAGAAATGACCGGCCTTTTCTACCGGATTGTGTGTCAAACAAAAAACGTTACGTTTTTGTTGGTATTAGCTTTTAAATACGAAATATGGATTTTATTGTGTTTTATGTAATTTTGATAATTTGTGTTGATCATCTCATACCAATATTGCTTTACATATAGGCCTATGTATTTAGTCCTGTGTAAAATTGCTCCACTTTAATTTATTTAATGTTAAAATAATACAGTGGTGGCGCCAGAATTTGCCCGACGGGGGATCCGAGGACTCGACAAGGGTGGTGGTGGGGGTGGTAAGTTGGGTTGATGTCCCCTACGAAAATCTTGTGGAGGTGTTCGAGCATCGCTCAAAATCTCTCGAAAGTGTTCCAGGGGGCGAATTTCAAAAGATATGACAATTTAGAGGTTTCAAGGGCTTTTAATCGATTTCAGAGTCTACTGACGATACATGTACATTTTTTTTCTCTCAGACTAATTGTGGATTTCACAACGACGTAGGGGAGGGGGAAGCTTTCCCCCAGCTGGCGACACTCCCGAGATAATAGCAAATACCCTAAAACGTTTATATTCAATTAGATTTTTTCTACGTTCTCTGAATCATGTTTGTAAATCATTGTCGTTATCATCATCATGGGACAAATATTATCCACATTGAATCTTCGTATATATATATATATGTCGGGGTTCATACGTGACATATTACATAATGTCAGTTATGAATAAGTGTAGGTCTAAATATTTATGTACATTTTTGATATTAGGGTCATAAATTATATTTGTTTAAACTTACAAATGTTATTTATTTTCTAGCGTTAAAAATGTTGGAACTGATTATCTGAAGCTTCCTTCAAACGGCCTGTCGCGGTCAAGTTCCTCAAGCTCATTCCTTGACAACAGTCCAATTGAGTTCACGCTGCCAACCAATGAGGTCAGAATAAAGCTATGCGACTCATGCGTTGATGGGTGCCATAACCATCAGCATGACATAGGAGAGATTGAACCGATGCTTTATCAGTAAGTAGCCTGTGCACGAAGGCTGTATTGAGTAGTTTGCAGTGTCGCTTATAACTGGAGACATATTTTTAACAAAACTGTCAGCGCCTTGACTTGAGACGGTTTTATTGGGGAAGGCGCTCTACAATACTACCGTACCATAAGTAGCTTTTTGTTTGTTCAAGGGCTGGCCTGATACGATTATTTGTTCCTATGTTTTTGCACTGTTTCCATCATTTAATTAATTTATATTGATATTACGTCCAGTGTTACATAGCACTCTATGATGTATGTATTGTGTACTCGTGCGAATAGCGCCCCATCTAATTTGAATAAGCGCCGCCCCAATATCATGTGATTTTTTTTAGAAAGTCAATAATCCAATCAATCCTGGGACCAGCGTGACCACTGCTTGGGTATTTACCCAAGATCTTGGGTATTTTGACTTGGTCTTGGGTTCTTGGGTATTCCGTTCAAATCCTTGGGTATTTTATTTTTACTAAGAAAATATTTAAATATTTTTGTCATAGAGGAAGAATTAAGAAGTAACAAAGTATATTTCAGTCCATTCAATTTAAGCAAAATTCAACGAAGTGCACATAACACTGTTAATTGCTATAAACATGGGTTCAGAATTGTTTATTTGTGATTTGCGTTGCCATTGATCTTACCTAATTAATGCATTCATAATAAAACTTGATCACTGATCTACTGATAACACTGGCCGACTGAGGGCATATTTTTCTATCTGTATTAACACCTCATGAATATTAATTTTAATAATTAACACAAACAATTACAATTAAAAAAAAAATTGGTTTATAGATTAAACTAAAGGGAAACTATACATGCGAAAAACACGTATTTTTCAAATTTTAATGCATTTTCAGGAAGCTTGGGTAATTTTGGGCAATTTTTGCTGAATCTTGGGTAATTTCGACCAAGTCATTGGGTATATCAAAAATTGTGAGTAGTCACGCTGCCTGGGACTGTGATTGGCATGATTTCAGCTGTGGAGTGGATTCACATTTTCTTCTTATGTCAATTTCAAAATGAGGCTATTTCTCCTGGACATATGTGAGCTCACTGAACAGTATCTTTCCAACGTTCCTCTTCTTACTTGTCTAGTCCTACTTCCCTTTTTCTTTTCCCTACAATTTGCACCTATGCACGTTTTCATCTGAGTTTGCAAGAAACCCTGCAATGATAATGCTGAATCTCATTCGGCAGATGCCAACAAGCTTACCACCTCCGCCACCACCACCAATATTTACTCTCAGCATTCTTGTCATGAGCCATGCTCTCTGGACAATTATCTTTTCACCAGAACCATTTGTTTATCTTTGGTTTCCAGATGTCCTTTTATAGGCATAATTGTTTTATTCAAAAATTTCCCCTTGAATTGTTCAAGTTCCCATAAAAACCCCTCAATTTTCACAAGCGCCCCTTTAATTTCCACTCTGTTTTCATAAGCGCTCCATTTGAATAAACACCCCTCAAAAAGTGCAAAAAAATATTTAAGCGTCCGGGTGCATATCCGCACGAGTACGGTATACGAAGCCCGAAACTGTTGTGTTCGTTTCTAATATATTGTATAGGCCTACCTACGTGTTTTCGTCTTGTTAACTATGATTTTTGCCGATGAAGACTCAACACTTAATGTAGGCTATATAATATAATGAGTTTCCACAAAGTACACTCACATATATAATATATATATATATATATAATATATATATACAGTATATATATGTATATATAGGCCTATATCTATATGTATATATATATATATATATATATATTACTAAATATATTTATATATACTTATTTGTTTATATATATATGTGTAAATATTCAATTTTATTCTCATAGGCCTATATATATATGTGTGTGTGTGTAGTAGTAGTTTATATTTATATATATATATGTATATCTTTTGTTATTAATTATCTTATAGAAATTACTTTCAAGACTTTGTTTTATCAGATTTTCTGATGACGATCATCAAGACAGTGCATTGCCGCCAAGTTCGACCGGACGGCTTTGGTTTGCAGTTATATATGATCCGACAGTTGAGCAGCTTATCGTAAACTTAGCAAACATTACTTATCCCCCTTGCAAATCCAGGAGAAATTCATCACGTGATGTATTTGTCAGCTTATTCGTTCATCCGGACTTTGAAAATCACAGACAATCGAAAATAAGACGAAAGAGTAAGACGCCATCATGGAACGAAGAGTTTGTTTTCCAGGTAAGCGGAGTAGTATAATTGTTGCAAATAAGTCTGTTTTCTTTCTTTGAATTGATTTCACTATTAATCTTGGTTCGTGAACTCAATAAACTACTTTGGGCAATACTAGACAACTCTTTCAAGAGTTTTTATTTATTTATTTATCATCAAAGAAAGGTAAATTAAGTGTTCGAATAAAGGATATGATAGTATATCGTGTAGCATAGCTCTCAGCGAATGTTGTCCTATAAAAAAAAAAAACATATATTGTGTTAATAAAATTACTCCGACGGGATTCGAACCTGCAAACTTCCGTTGCCAAGGCGAGCTTAACAACCATTAGGCCACAGAGGCTTCACGGTCAGATTTAAATAACCGCCAGGTACATTCTTTTACGTAATAATAATAATATTAATAACAGTGCTCAAATAGGAACATGTAATAATTACATCAAGCATAGCTCATCAATGACAAGTACCTTTATCCCAGTTGTATGGAAAAAGTGTCTTTATATATATGTATATATATATATATATATATATATATATATGTGAC